ATACAATCAAGATGTTCTCTCCCAAGATGGTGGCTCCTTGAACACCTGAGTGTCTTGATCCAGAATACAATGGATTTCTGGATTCCCTTCAAATTTCCCAGCTGTAAACCCACCAGTCCTCCATACATAGCTTTACATTTGTTTCAGAGTTCCAACACTATCTCGTGAGACCTCTTGGCCCGGTGTTCCGTGTTGTTGTTGACTGAGCTCTGACGGAACGGAACTTAGGGTTTAATTTTTGGCTTATTTCCTTTTTTTGTCTGCTTGTCCTGCCCCACAATCTCCGTTCAGGCCTTTTTTCTAGTTTCTAGTTCAGCGCCGGCTATGGCCATTTGGTTTTAATTGGAAACTGTCTTTTTAAATGTCGAGGAGATCTGTGCGCATGTGTAGTAGAACCCTCCGAGGGTGGGGCTGGGGTACCCACTTGCTCAGGCACCCCTATAGTCACCAGAATGGAGGTGAGCAGACAGCAAGGGACCAATGAACAGCTACCAAAAGAAAAGAATGTCCACACCTTTATTTCTGCTGTTCTGCCAGGCATCTGTGGCTACTCCGATCCTTTCCCCACATGGTCTCACCCAAGATAGCGGCTCCTGGACATTGTTGTTGTTGTTGTTAAGTGCCGTCGAGTCGGTTCCCACCCATAGCGACCCTGTACAGGGTTTCCAAGGGTGTAAATCTTTACGGGAGTAGAAAGCCTCATCTTTCTCCCATTAGCTACCCAAAATGAAGAGGCTACAAAGGCAAGAAGTGACTGGCTTACAAGCTTTCAAGAGGGAACCTAGATCCAGAGGGCGTGAAGGAAGGTAGACTTTCCACTGAGTAGTATCCAATCTGTCTAGGCGGGGCAGATGAAAGGAAATGTGGATAGGCCTCTTGTGATACAATAGTCAATGATTGTTATCAGGACTGCTTGTGAGGGTTGGAAACGTAAAGGTTGACATTTTGTAACAAGGAGGGGAATGATTAACTTTGCAGTCTAAGAGCGGAGGTCCCTGGGACCATCAAGGGAGAAGAGCGGAGAACAGGATTGTACCCAGAGAAGCAGTAATGCCTGAGATGGAGCCAGAGACGATGACATGCAGAGATGGAGCAGCTGGGGAATTTAGACCCAGAAAGGGAGAGGGGTTGGGTGCTGACAACAGGAGGCGGGGGTAAAAGGGGATGGGGGTGTAGGCTTGTAAGATATACCCTTTGGTTGGCTGTTGATACATGCAAGGGATTGTAACCATGGCAATGAAACGATATATGATAGGATGAATGTTCTTCCATGTAAACTATCACATAATTCACAATAAAACATTTTGGAAAAAAAAAAGAAAAGAGGGAGCCTAGATCCAGATGGCATATAGGAAAAGTAGAGTCTGCACTGAGTAGTATCCAATCTGTCTAGGCAGAGCTGATGAAAGGAAATGTGGCTAGATCTCTTGTGATACAACAGTAAATAATTGTTATCAGGACTGATTGTGAAGGTTGGAAATGTAAAGGTAGACATTTTGTAGTAAGGAGAGGAGTGATTAACTTTGCAGTCTAGGAGCGGAGGTCCCTGGAACCATCAAGGGAGAAGAACTGAGTGTGGGATCCTACCCAGAGAAGCAGTGATGCCAGTGGTGGAGACACAGATGATGACGTGGAAAGATGGAGCAGCTAGGGACTGTAGACCCAAAGAGGGAGAAGGGCTGTGTGCTGACGACCAGGGGGCAGGTTCGCAGGGTATACCCTGTGGATAGTTGATGATGCATGGAGGGGATGTAACCATGCCAGTGAAACGATATAGGACAGGATGAATGTAAAGCTAATGTTCTCCCATGTAAACTATCACCGAATTCACAATAAAACACTAAAAAAAAGCATACACAAAAAAACAAAATATAGATCACAATGAACTAATTCACAACTGATCGTGGGGATGGTGCAGGGATAGTGAAGGACCAGGCAACATTTTGTTCCAGACAACATTTTGTTCTGTTGTGCACAGGGTCACCCCAAATCAGGACCGACTCATGGTAGTTTACAACATTCCAGCAAAACAAGAGTCCAGGTGTCCGACAATAATAATAAAAAGCTGCCTCCTTAATTCATACAATCATATAGCATGATGTGATTTTAAAATCAATGATATTTTTATTCTCAGAGGAGTGTTTAGTATCCTCATCTTACAACAAAGAAAACTGGAGTCTAGAAAAATTAAACAATGACTGCTCTCAAATAGCTAGTAACTACATAAAGCCTAAACCTCAAGGGCTCCTGACTGTTCCAATAATCAACTTACACACTATGTTGTTGTTGTTGTTGTTAGGTGCCATCGAGTTGGTACCAACCCATAGTGACCTTGTGCACAACAGAACGAAACACTGCCCGACCCTGGGCCAACCTCACTACCATTGCCACGCTTGATTCTATCAATGCTACCACTTGGCAAATCAATCTTGTAGGAGGTCTTTCTCTTTTTCTCTGGTCCTCCACCTTACCAAACATGATAGCCTTCTCTAGTGACTGGTCCCCTCCTGGCAATATGTCCAAAGTATGAGAGACGAAGTTTGGTCATCCTGGCCTCCAAGGAGCACTCTGGTTGCACTTCTTTGGCAGCCCATGGCACTTTCAGTATTCTCCTCCAACACCATAACTCAAAAGCATCAATTCTTTTACGGTCTTCCTTATTCACTGTCCAGCTTTCGCATGCATATGAGGTTATTGAAAACACAATGGCTTGGGTCAGGCTATAGCTATAGCACAACATTTCTCAAAATTCTTAAATAGAGCTTGGGGAAAAACGTTACAAGATTCTCTCCAAATTACCTCTAGTACCTCACAAAGTGAGATATATAAAATAGAAAAAAACCAACAGGCTTGGGTTTCATATTATAAAAAATGCCTATTTAAGTAGAAGCTGAGCTGGTTGTGGTGTTCCTTTTCTCCAAATCAAATCACCATTTTGAACTGTAACATAAACATTGATGCATAACCTCATTAATTACTAAAATGTTACCCCAGTGTAGAATAAGCACAATACTTCAATGTGTAATGATAAATTTTCATATGCATAATATCTGAAGGATGAAGGATGGAGGTCAGTGGAGAAAACAATTTCAATGTGCATTTTCAAACAAATACTTACTATATTTAGCTTTTTAAAAAACAACACACTAACATTCCTATGAAAAAACCTATTATGTATTTATTAAACAAATATTAGGCCTTCTAATCATAGTCAGATTTTTGTATCGTCCCATGGGGTTGACACAAATGAATACCAGCCCCTCCTTATTTGTTCAATAAACAGAAGATATTAACTAGTTGCCATGTGCATTAACAAATTATAACTAGTCAACTTACCTTCTACTGCACTAGTAGGATCACATTCTTCAAATTCAATAAGGCCTAGGGAAAAAAAACAAAAAACAACAACCTCTAGTAAAAAACATAGTTGGTAAACAACACATACCAAATAAGATCTTGTTGCATTTCTCAAAAACTTTTCTGAAATAATTTCCAGTGTTAACTATAATTTAAGAAATTGTCATTTTGTGTACTTCAAATTCTTCAAAAAATCTTCTAAAAGCGAATCCACAAAACTGGAGATACAGAACTCTAACCTACAGATTCTGCTTTCAAGAAGTTTGCAATAAACTTGATGAGAATAAATAAGCACAAGCGAAATCCTTGGTTGTGCCTAAGGGAAGAAGAGAGGGACCAAGAATTTGCTGTACTACTAGAATCTGGGGGAGCACGGCGGCTCTGTAGGATAAGAACTGGACTTCGAACCACAAAGTCAATGGTTCAGGCCCACCTGGTGCTCTGCGGGAAAAAGATAAGGCTTTCTGTTTCACAAAGACTTATAGCCTTGGAAATCTTATACAGGGTTGTAATGAGTTCTGACTCACAGTGACCCTATCAAGGGTTTCTGAGGAGTGGCTGGTGGGTTTGAACCACCTACCTTGTGGCTAGCAGTCCAGTGCTTATCCTACAGCACCACAGGCTTAAATGTTATACAATATGGTATATTTCACAGATGAAATACATCAAATTATTTACACAACAGAGATAGCAGCAAATGTAAGAATTATTCTTATACTGAAATATCCTAAAAGCTAAATAGCAGACCAAATAAAAAGTTACCTCCCATTAAATTATTTTAGTCCTGTTTAATAATATACATTGTTGTTGTTGTTAAGTGCTGTCGAGTCGGTTCCGGCCCATAGCGACCCTGTACAGGGTTTCAGAGGCTGTAAATCTTTACGGGAGCAGAAAGCCTCATCTTTCTCCTGCGGATCCACTAGTAGTTTCAAACTGTTGGCCTTAAGGTTCGCAGCCCGATTCGTAACCACTACGCTACCAGAGCTCCTTAATAATAAATAATACATAGATTTACTAAAATCCAGCATTTTCTGAGATAATTTTAATGTATTAATGATACTTGGTTTAACCTACTACATCAAAAAATGTTTAAAAAGAACTTTGTTTTATTTTTAATCAGAAAAAAGGGGAAAAAAGGATTTCTTTACTGTTTTTTTCAGAGACATTAAGCTTAACTACAACTGTGAGCAAATGAAGGAGAATTCTTACTGATCACTCTTATGAACAAAAACAAAATGTCCCTCCCTCCCTTCCTCCCCAGTCTAAGGTTTATTTTTATTCAATCCTAATTCCTATTCAAATAAAATAAACATTGAATTACAAGCAGAAAAAACAAAATATCATAAAAATGAGTTGTTAAACAGTCCCTGGACTCCTGGTGTGGTGCAGCAGGATAAGCACTAAACCGAAAGGTTGGTTTGAAAGCAAGGTCAGTGGTTCAAATCCACCAGTCACTAAAAAGTCACTAAACAAATCCACCAGTCACTGAATCAGAACTGACTTGATGGCACTTAACAACAATTAATTGTCAATATCTTCCTCACAAGGACATTCATATATATCATATGATTAAGAAAACAATTTATCACTTCCAAAGATGAGGCATTCTGCTCCCATAAAGATTTACAGCCTTGGAAACTCTGTGCAGGGTCGCTATGAGTGGGAACCGACTCCATGGTACTTAACAACAACAACAACCAAGAAAGCCTTAAGAAGTCAGAAAATGGTCCAATTAAAACTTTAAGAACTTTACTCAAGGATTCAAGGTCACTCTGCAAATCTGGAAGGTGAGAAGTCATGAAACTAAAGGGTATTCAGCTTGCTCTTAGAATCCCTCAGAAGCCTGTTGTGGTGCAGTGAATTATTTAATATGTTTCTTCTAGTCTTAGTCTTTGTCTCACCACATGACTCTTTTCTTGATGGGTTTGGGTAAGAGAAGGTGGGAAAAGATAATGATAGGATGATATGATTCAGGTGTAAATGATTGTTAGTAGAGTTCATTGTGATTGTAAAATCCTGGAACTCTAACATGAGTATAAAATGAGCCATCTCAGAAGCAGGAGGGAGACTTTTAACTATTGTCAAGGAAGAGGAGTCAGGAGTAAACCCAGAGAGCCCTGCATGGTAAACCTCCCTGACCCAGGAATAGAAAGCTGTGGCACCAAAGGAGTGGTACAAGAGGAGCAGAAGCAAAACCAAGAGCCAGAGCATGAGACAGAGCAGTGGGCTTCCCAGTCCACAGAACAAGTAAAGCTGAGGCTGAAAATCTTCTCTCATGGAGTATCAGGTAAATTCAAACAGCAGTTTTAACCCATTAGGCTACCAGGGCTCCAGTTAGAGTTATTTTTCTTGAAATCTGTTTGATTTCCTCTTGATTTCTAAGCTCTGTAATATTAGTAGCTTTCTATATGTTTTAGGACACCTGGTGTGGCACTGTGGGTTAATGCATCACATTAATTGCAACGCCCTTTGAACTGCAAAGTTGGTGGTTCAAGTTCACCAGCAGCTCCTCGGAAACCCTGTACAGGGTCACTATGAGTCGGAATCGACTCGATGGCACTAAACAACATAATGTTTTGTTGGTCATTGTAAACTGGTATCTCCAGTTCCCTATTTTCAGTCTTGTATGTTTGTTTTGGAGTCCGGGTATGGCGCTGTGGGTTAATGCATTGAACTGCAGTGTCGGTCCAGACCACAAGGTTTGCACTTCAAGTTCACCAGCCACTCCTTGGAAACCCTATACAGGGTTGCTGTGGGTCACAATCGACTCGATGGCACACAACACCACCACCAGGTTTGTTTTACTTTCAATACTTCCATATCTGGGTTGTAGGATAAGCACTGTACTGCTAACCTCAAGGTCAGTGGTTGAAACCCACCAGTTGCTCCTTGGAAACCCTATACAGACAGGGTCCTTGAGTCAGAACCGACTTGATGACACTAACACCACCATCTAGGTTGAGTTCTGGGTGATGCTATCACGTATGTTAGTCTTAGGTTGTTGTGTGCCATTGCTGGTTCTCCAAATAACTCACTTTAGTTTTTTTTTGTGAGGTTGGTCTGGTTTTTGCAAATTCTTTTAATTTCTGTTTATTTGCAAATGCCCTAACTTTGCTGTCATACTGACACTTTTGGTAGGTATATGACTCATGCCTGGCAATTTTTTTCTTTCAGAGTTTTATATATGTCATCCCATTGCCCTCTTGATGCATGGTTTCTGCTGAGTCCTCCTTTGTAACTAATTTATTCATCTTTCCCGAGCTGCTCTCAGGATTCTTTCATTGTCTTTGGTTTTGAAAAGTTTGACTATGCCTTGGTGATTTTCTTTGGGGTCCATCCTGTTTGGAATTCATTTATCTTCTTGAAAGGCTATTTTGTCCTCTTTCATGATGTTAGGAAATTTTTATTCCAACAACTCTTGGACAAGTTTCTGTGTATGTGTGTTGTGTTTTTGTTTTTTGGTCTCTTTCAGTCCTGAAATTCCAACTACTTGTAAGTTATTCCTCTTGGTGTTGTTGTCTTTAAGTGCCATTGATTCGGTTCCAACCCATAGCGACCCTGTAAAGGGTTTCCAACAAGTGACTGTTGAGTTTGAACCATTGACCCTGCAGTCCAAATGGACTTTGCTGTCCAGTGCATTAACCCACAGTGCCACACCAGGGATCCGTTCTTCTTGACATTCGCACATAAATCTTAAGTTCCTTCAGATATTTCTATTCTTCTTTCTGATTGCTCTGTTGTTGTTGTTAGGTGCCATCGAGTTGGTACCAACTCATAGCGACCTTATGCACAGCAGAACGAAACACTGCCCAATCCTGGGCTAACCTCACTATTGTTGCCACACTTGAGTCCACTGATGCTGCTATTTGGCCAGTCCATCTCGTTGAGGTCTTCCTCTTTTTCTCTAACCCTCCACCTTACCAAACATGATATCCTTCTTCAGTGACTGGTCCCTCCTGACAATATGTACAAAGTATGAGAGACGAAGCTTGGCCATCCTGGCCTCCAAGGAACACTATGGCTGCACTTCTTCCAACATGGATCTGTTGGTTCTTTTGGCAGCCCATGGCAAATGACTACTGAAGGATTTGTCTTCAAACTCAGTAATTTGGCCTTCCGTTGATTCCATTCTACTACTTTGTCCTTCTAATATACTATTTCTGAAGTCTTAAGTTGTAATAGTCTGTCTTTCGAATTTGTATGATTTTGTATGGTTTACAGGTTTTTGTCAGTTCTTAGTGTTTTCTCTCTTCTTGCTTTCCTCCATCTTTCTTTCAATCTTTTGAAGGAACATACATGGCATTCTTTTAAATTTCTTATCAAGTAGTTTTGATAACCACTTTTGGTATTCTATTTTCTGACTCTATATTTTGGTCTGAGGCACTCGGTCTTGTTTCTTCATGTAAAGTGAAATCGTCTCTTTTCCCTGAGACATTGTGTTGTTGCTGTATTTATATTTAACTGATGATTGTATATGTTGGCATGTTCTTCTGGTAGATGTGATAGAAACTGGAAAAGTGAACGCAGTTCTCGCTTCACTATTTGTGTAGCATAGTTCAGAGCAGGTTCATGTGCCTTCAAAAGCAGTGATGGCCTCCCTGGCACCCAACCCCAGGCAGAGCTGAAACTGCACAGGAGGGGATGCCACTGACTTGGCAAAGGCAGTGACTAGACCTGCCCCTGGCTACCTGGATGGTAGGAAACAAAGCAGAATTCCTCTTGCCACCAACCTCCAGCCATGTCCTTTGTCTGCAGGCTACTTTATCAACAGCCATCCACTAAAGTTCAAGATGGCCACATCACTCCATGCCAGTTGACAGTCCGCCATTTCTTCTCTCTCACTGCTCCTCTTTAGCTTCCTCTTCCAGTCCGTTCAGTTCAGAGAGGTCAGTATACCTCTCTGCTCTATCCTCTGAAGTTCAGGGTTCCAGGATCACCATCTATAGCTATTTCACTTGGTCTTGTCTTTGTTGCAAAGGGTCCATTCAGTGTATCTGTCTACTTCGCCATCTTGCCCCAGAATT